GGTATATTACACTAGAAGTAGAGTTACCCAATCATGGAGCAGGACATGATTGTGTTAGGTGCTGTACATTATTAGGTGGATTACAGCAGTGATAAGAGTTCCTCAGTAATGGAGAAGGAACCCCACCGTGTAACGTGCTGTATATTATTAGGCGGATTACGGTAGCGGTAGGGCTCCTCGGTCATGAAGCAGGACTCCATTGTGTTAGGTGCTGTACAAACACAGACAAAGGCCACCTGGCGGGGGATTGGCAAAGAGGATCGAAAGAACAGGTTTCTGGGGGCAGGCAGAGATCTTTGACGTGTTCTTTGTACACCCACATTCAGACACTGTCACAAGCTGGATCCCACAGGACAATTCACTTACTTTTCTTTCGTTTTGGCTTTTTAGGGATTTGCTCCCATGGTTTCCTGCAACAGAAAAAGAGAGCACTGATTTAGCATATGCCCCCAATGCTGTCGTATCAAGACATATCAACCTTTTAACGTAGGAGGCAGGGCTGTGCTATTATCTCCTCCTCCTCCCCTCCCCGCTTTTACAGATGGGGAAACTGAGGCATAGATTCACTTGACAGTGACTTGCCCCAGGTCATGGTACCTGCACCTTATGTGATGCAGATCTCAGAGAGGAATTCCCAGAAGCAGGGTTTACTGCCAAGGTTCATAACAGAGGCAGGGCTACTTATTTATTGGTTTTTTAAGACTACATAAAGAGCTCTGTTCTACTAGAGCACAAAGGGAGTGACATCCATCCCTTATATCACCAAGCTCAAATAAATGTGTTAGTCTCTAAGATGCCACAAGGACTCCTCATTCTTTTTGTACATACAGACTAACACTGCTACCACTCTGAAGTTTATATTGGTTACTCCTCTGTCTGAAAACCAGCCCCCTCATTCACGATCTTTTGCAAAAGAAATACTTTGAAGGGCTTAGATCAGTGACTGGTGAGCAATCTAAACCCTTTGCTCCCAAATTCTCTCAGAGTACAACCATGGATTGCTGATCCATGAAATCTAGCTGACTAGATGCTACCCAAAGGGATGATGCCCTTAATACAGTGAGGCCATGAAGAACACTTTAGTTGGTTTTCTTCCACTGTATAATTAAACCGGGAAATTCACTGTGCAGGTTATTACATAAATAATTTAAGGCCAGATTATCTCATCTGATCTTCTGTATATCAGAAGCCACGACAGACAGACACCCCATAGCGAGCCCAGTGACTTTAGTTAGACTAAAGCATTTTAGTCCTCAAGAGACTAAACTGAGGCAAAGACAGAGAACAGGAGAGACTGAGGTGCCATAAATGCCCCTGTGATGGCAGGGAATTGTTCAGGTCAGACATGCCCAGATGATACCAGCAGGTGAGCCACACCCCATGCTGCAGAGGAAGGTGAAAAATCCCCAGAGCCTGTTATACTTGCTGAGGCCCTGAACCTGCAGCGAAATGCATGCAGGTGGATCTCTGCACCTTCACAGACCCATGACTCAGATGCAGCACCACGAGAACGCAGATAATCTGCCCATGTCTCTCTCATCGCAGGATCAGCACCTAGGATACAATATCACAAGGGAAATGCACAAGTTCTTGTGTAGGACCTGGGATCAGAGAGTAATTTCCCTGCACGGTATAGTACTGCTGGATGAGATCTCTTCCCCTGAAGCATTCATCACCAATCGCTGTCAGGGCACACTGAGTTAGAAGGACCAGCGCTCTGATCTGGGATGCAGACAGTGACACTAGCATGATTTAACAATCATTTGGGGAGCGGCAGAGAGCGTAAACAGTTCTGCTTTAAAATAGTGCTTATCTTTGCAGATCCACAGCAGAAGTGCACCACTGGAATTCAGTCACGACAAAAGCAGCATGAGGTGTGTATCTTAGGCATCTCCATGCTAGAGGTGGTTTGCCGATAAGTCTGTAAGGGCAAACCTTCCTAGCACTGAGCAGTTTATCCCGGCAAAAGAGAGTGCTGCCTGGTATGGCCAGTACCCAGAGCAAAATGAGCTGTACCAGCAAAACTAGTCTTTGCTGGTATAACTGCGTCTCCACTACGGCTTTGGCAGGTATAAAAATGTTGGCAAAAATCACCCTTCAAAGTGACATAACTGTACAAGCAAGATTCTTCACACTTTACACCTTTCTGGAGCCCCTTCTATCCAGAGGGGGAAAGTAAGGGATGAGGGGTCCCAGCTTAGTCAGGGGTCTGATTTCCCACCTCCCCCCTGGCTCTCACCTGTGGCACCCTACTTGCTGCCCACGCTCCAGGGGCATGCAGGGACGGGGATAGGAGAGGAGGAGTCAATGAGGGGGCTGGCCCAGCACGGTGGGGGGGAATCTGGCTCAGTAGATGCAGGCTCTCACCTGCAGCACCCTATGCACTGCCCCTGCTCCAGCCAGTAGGGTGCATAAAGGGAGAGGGAGTCCAGGCCCGGGGGAGGACTGGGGGCCGGATGTGGGGGTTGGATGGCCCGGTGCGTTGCCCCCCCTCCAGCCAGTAAAGGGTGTATGGGGAGGGGGGCTCAGCCCAGGAGAAGAGTTGGGGAACCCGGTTTTCACCTGCGGCGCCCCACGTTCTGCCCCCACTCCAGCCCCAGCAGGTAGGGGGTGTACAAGGAAGGGGGGGCCATCCTGGGAAGGGGGCAGAGGAGCCTGGCTCAGGAGGGGGGCCTGGGAGGGGGGTTGAGGGGCCTGGCCGGGGAAGGGGTTGGGGGGCCCGGCTCTCACGCGTGGTGCCCCATGCGCTGCTCCATTCCAGCCAGTGCGGGGTGTATGGGGAAGAGTGGGTCCAGGGCCGGGAAGGGGGTTGGGGGGCCTGGTTCTCACCCGTGGTGCCCCAGCAGGTAGAGGTTGTATGGGGAAGAGGGGACCCAGCCCAAGAGAGGGGTTGGTGGGCCCGGCTCGGGAGGGGGGGCCCGAGATGGGGGTTAGGGGGCCCAGCTCGGGAGGGGGGACCCAGCTTTCACCTGTGGCGCCCCAGCAGGTAGGGGGTGTACAGGGAAGGGGGGGCCCAGTCCAAGGGAGGAGTTGGCGGGCCCAGCTTGGGAGGAGGGTTGGTGGACCCGGGGAAGGGGGGGCCTGGGAGGGAGAGGTTGGGAGGCTTGGCCCGGGAGAAGGGTTAGGGGGCCCAGCTCGGGAGGAGGATTGGCGGGCCCAGGGGAGGGGGGGGGGCCCGGCCCAGGCGAGGGGCAGTTGGGGGGCCCGCGGAAGGGGGCGGCGGGGGAGCTTGGCCCAGTGGGAAGGGGGGGCCAGGCCCGGGGGAGGAGGAGTTTGGGGGGCTAGAAGCTCGGCCCGGGGGAGGAGGGGAGGCCCGGCCCCGCGGAAGGGGAGGGGTTGGGGGAGAGAGGGTTGGGGGCCCAGGAGGGAGGAGGGTTGGCGGACCCAGGGAAGGGGGTACCCGGGGGAGGGGGGTTGGGGGGCCCGGCTCTCACCCGCGGCGCCCCGCGCGCTGCCCCCGCTCCAGCCCCAGCAGATAGGCCGCCAGCTTGGCGTCGCTCCAGCCGCTGCGCCGCCGCAGGTCCACCCAGGGCCCGTGCGCCTCGCCCAGGTACACCCGCCGCACGTCGTACTTCTTGCGGGACTCGAGGCGGCGCCGGGCCCGGTCGGACTCGGTCAGGCGGGGCCGCCCCCGGGCCTTGCGGCCGCCGCCGACCCCCGCCTCCCCCGCGCCGGGCCCGGCCTCCTCCTCCTCGGCCGCCGCCTCCTCCTCCTCCGCCGCCGCGGCCGGGGCCGGGCCCCGCTGCGCCTCGCTCATCCCCAGCCCGCTCGCCAGCCGGCCGCGCCGCCCCGCCCGCTGCTGGGCCGCTCGCAGGAGCCCGGCGCAGGGGCAGTGACGTCAACGGGCCGCGACCCGCTTCCGGTTCCCCGCCCCCTCGCTGCTCTGTGAGAAAAGTCGCCCTGGTCGGCCGCGCGCCTGCCCGCCTCGTTGCGCTCTAGGCATGCGCACCCAGCGCCGTGCCGCGGGTGGTGCCCCCCTCTGCGCCTGCGCTGGGAGGTGGGTTCAGGGCCCAAGAGCCCGTCGAGAGAGAGAGAGAGAAGCTCCGCCCTCAGCGTGCGCACAATGCTACGAGGGCTGGGCGTCTTTTTGCGCATGCGCTGGAGATTTGTCTCCCTCCACCCCCTCGCGGAGATCCCTTGCGCATGCGCCCCAGCACTGGGTGCCTGGCTGTGCCCTCCCCCCGCAGCCTTTTCAGGGGGTCCCAGCGTTCAGGCTGCCCCGAGCTCCGCCTGACCCCAGGGAGGGCAGCCCCTGCCCAGGCGGGCCCCCAACCGCCCCCAGGGGTCACCCACGCCCTGCTCCCCCCCCCCGGGCAGACCCCTCAGCCCCCCCATCCCAGTACCCCCAGTCTCCCGGGCAGGCCCCTCAGCCCCCCCATCCCAGTCCCCCCTCCCCCGGGCAGACCCCCGGCCCCCATCCCATCCCCCAGGCAGACCCCCAGCCCCCCCATCCCATCCCCCCCCCCCAGGGCCCAGCCCCCAGGCAGACCCCCGCTGCCTCAGACCCAGCCCCTGGGACAGACAGGCCCACACACACCCCTGCCAGCCAGCCTAGCCACCACCTTCCCCTGCACGCTTGGCCACAGGAGAGCCAACCACCCACCCACCGACCGGGGCCCAGCCAGCACACAGCCCCTCCCTCCCTGAGGATCCCAGGCCCAGCTGGACATGACTAGCTGAAGAGCCGGCTGGAGGCAGCTCAGCCCAATCACAACCCCCCAGCAAGTAGCTGCTCTGTGATCAGCAGCACCCTCCCTGTCCCCTCAGCCAGAGCAGCACAAGGTCTCACCAGTGGCCTCCGACCAGCCCCCCCACCCCCATCAGGCCAGCTCCTGGCTAGTTTTCAGAGCAGCTTCAGGGGAAGGCGTGGGGAACTGGGGCAGGCTCTGCCAGGCCCCTCACTGGCTTGGGCAGGGGACCCCCAATGCACAAAGCCATGTGGTAATGTTAACCTGCCCCCATTTTATGGAGAAAGACCAGCAGGGCTAGGACTGAGTGTTCCCGTCTTCTTCGGAAAGTGCTGCAGGCTTTTTAATAACGTCTCTGCTCCACGCCCAGGGGGAGCAGTTTAATAGGAGCTGGGATTACAACTCAGGAGGCTCTGGGCTCCCACTGCCGTGCTCAGAAAGCCCAGAGAACAATGATCAGGTCCAAATGTAAGACTGCTACACCGAATTATATGGCGACTAAGCGCATTCACCCAATATGCAGTATGGTACTTAGTGCTAGAGTGAAGGAAGCATGGGCATGGGGGGCAGGCGAATATTCGCAGCATCCCCATTACATGCAACTCTACTAAAAGTGGCTCAGACTGATTGAAAGGACGAATCCATTCCTATGCCATGGTGGCTGCTGAAACAGACTCCCTCTGGCCTATCTGCTCGATTGGCAAGGCAGGAGGGAGCCACATGCAGCTACACAATCACCAAGGAAGTCGATGAAACAGACAGGTTTAAAGCTCTTGCTTCGCATGCCAACTTTGCGGGATCTCCTCCTCACCGCTCTCCGAGTCCAAGTCCACCTGGAGCTCTCGGGGCCCCGGCGTGAGGTGGAACACAACTGGCGTCTGACTCAAAATGGGATTGGTTTGCTGCAGGCCCAAAATCCACTTGGCCAAAGTGGCCTGGTCTCCTGCCCCGGCCATGCACATGGCAAAGATGGGGCCTTCCTCCACTGCAGGGGACGGGACAGAGAGAACAGAAGCAGCGTCAATATTAGCAAACCCCACAGCACTTCGCATACAGTGCAATGGAGCAGTGGAGTCCAGTAGTGAGAGCAGGGTGACTGGAAATCAGGATTCTTGGGGTCCTAATCTTACCTCCACCCCTCCCTCCACAAGAAAACTGTCAATTCACCGAACAACAATAATCCTCCACCCTCAGGGGGAAGGTTGTTTGTCTGTCAAGGATGCAAAGTCCACACATTCAGGAACTAATTTTTTTCACCCAGCATTGAAATGCGGCCACTTCTGGGGCAGAACACAACAGCTGCCACACAGCCACTTAGAACAGAAGTCACTGTTCTATCCCGCTGCAGAGGAGCTCTGATTTAAATGTGTTCAGGTAGGGAAGAAAAGTATATGCTGATCTAAGTGACCTGGACGCTTTCTTTCTTGCTTGGGGGATCATATAGAGATAAGAGGGGGAGGAAAAAGATCATTCTTATCCTGGGATCGCTCTTGTAAATTGTGCCAGGGTTAGTTTACACAGTCCTTGCAGACCTCTCTCAGAAGCTCTGGATTAGGATTGGGACTAGTAATGTGGCAGTAACGTCCATCCACTGCTGACTGGGGCTGGATTTGAATTAGCAACTTCGAGGCTGACACAAAATATTACAGGCATTGGAAGCTTACACCAAGGGGGAATGGCTTTGGTTGAGGCGTGGAGTTAGGAATTCAGAAGCCGTAGGTTCAGGTGAGTGGGGACAGAGATATCTGTTAGCCTATGGAACAACCTCCAGAGGGATGGATCAATTTCTGGGATCTATTTCTGTTTCACTGCCAGCTGTTCTGGCTCTCCCATTGCCCGACTGTCCCAGTGGATAGGATTTGCTCTAAATGCACCCCTACCTCAGCGACCCAGCCCCACGCGAGTTACCTTCATCCACGTAAAATTCCTCATTATCCCAGAGGTCCCGATCCAGGTCCAGGTCGAGCTGCATGGGGTAGTAGAAGTTCCTCTCGGAGTCTATCACCTCTTCCTAAGGGCGGGGGGGAGGGTGAAAGATATTTATATGGGGGAAGTAAATACCCCCCCGCAAACACCTCTGCCCTACCCAATGGCTAACCTGCATCTCTCTGCCCTCCTTGGACAAGACAAGGCCACTCCTCTAGGTATTCAGCTTGCGCAGTCCATGGATTTCCAGAGAAAGAGGCCAGAATGGCAGCCCTGTGTATCCACAGAGCGAACTTCCTTGCCCAATATCCCTGAGTCGGCCCTGGACAGACCCCCTAAGTGGAAGAGGGGACCTCGACCTCTCCATTGAGGCTGTTAGTGAGGGGCCTGGTCACTGCAGATTGTGCTGGTGGTTTCGGCAATATGTTCACCAGCCCAGCTAGGAATGAGTTGAGATCTGGCAAACTCACTATGTGCAGGCCAATGAATGGCTGTCAGGTGAAGGTAATTATTGGTCTCCACCAATGAAGGAGGGAATAGAACTGGTGTCCCCTAGAGGGGAAAAACCCCATATTCCAGTCTGACTCCCCTGAGCCAGCCAGTCCCCATGCTGTGGGTCTGGGTCAGAGACAGCACCCCCTAGAGGGGAAAAGCCCCCATAGCCTATTCCCCACACCCTGCCCCACCTCCACAAGACTTACAGGATTTCCAGAGTGACTCATGTCATTCACCAAACCAGCACCAACTCCGTGGAGTTTGCAATGCAGGGAAACAGCCTGGAAATACAGACCCTCCTCCCCAGAGCCCGCAGCACACAGCCGACAGCCCCACGCAGGGAGGCAAGACGGTTCTTTACCTTTTCTTCAGGAGGTAGCGGCTCTCCCCGGAGTACGTAATAATAAACACACGTCTTCTTCAGCCACAAGGGGAAGGGGCCCTCGACAAACACGGGCCTGGCCGGATTGTGGCAAGCCAGGAGTTCCTGCTGATCGGGGCTCTGGATTCCTAAAGGGAAGGGAAACCACACATGCCACAAATCAAGGATTAGCTACCCGAGGAGAGAATGAACACAATCCAACAGCTCTGCGCTGAACACCAAGCAAAAGCACTCAAGGTGGGGAAGCTCTCCCGAGCAGGAGAATCTGCCAGGCTGAGATTTCTACCTAGGAGCTGAGCTTGTGATCGACAGCCAGGACTCCCCAGATCCAAGAGCGGGATGCGAGGCTCTACAGAGAGGCTTACCTCCTTAGCGGTTCTAAAGACACTAGGCTCCTCAGCGCCGGAGCAGGCTCGTTATTTAAAAGGAGGAAGGAAGGGTTGGGGCCAGCCCATAAAGAAGGCAAGCAAATCCAAGTCAATGGGGCAAGAGAGACACCCCCATTCCCAACCCAAACGCCCCCCTCTCGGAGTCTGTCCAGGGTCACGTGAGGCATAGCCCACGTGGCTCGCAACTTCTGCTTCCCCACAGCCTGGCTGCTTCTAGCCAGCAAGACCGAATGGTCCCAGTGCTGACCGTCCCCTCTAGGTAAGGCTCCAAAAAGGTGACAGACAACAGGCTAGAGACTTTTCGCTCCCATGTAATCCAGCACTGGCCACTCAAAGGCAAGGTTGTCTGGGGCATCCCGTACCTACGATGTGCGGTTGGGTGATCTCTTTTCCATCATCCAAAATATCTGTCAGAGGCATCTGCAGAAATGAAGACACCTTTGTTAGAGACAGCATCCTTCACATGCGTGGGATCCCTGACTCACTCCCCCAGTTCAATACAGCCAGGCAGGCTGTAGAACCCAAGAGGCCGGGCCCCAGATAACAGAGGAGTAAACTCCTTGGCGCATAGAACAGTCTAGAGGGTGCTCCATGCCCCAATTGCTGCAAGCACCTTCTCCTCTGCATCGGGCTGTGCTAGGGGTCGTTCGAGCTGACCAGAGCTAGCTTTGCCTTCAGCTCATTCTGGGACTCCACCGCTGTGCAGCGAGAGGCCGTGGCACGTTCGAGTCCCTTCCCCTGCGGCGCTCACACCCCAATGAGCAAGAGTCAGTCACTCCCATGGCTACAGACAACGTGCTACAGCCGAGTGCCTTTCGTTACCTGATAGACCGTGACCTTGGCGCTCAGGTCCGCAGCGATCCGCTGCAGGCTGAATCTGGCGAGGTCAACGGGGTCTTGGGGGAGGGCCGCCGGGACCGGGTAGGGGTTGGCATGCTTGAATTTGGGGAACCAGTACATGAGCCGCTGGTACTTGCGAACGGGATGGCTCTTCTCACCAAAGATCTGGAGCAGCAGGAACTTCGTCTGCTTGTTGGGCATGATGCCTGCGCATATGAGGGAGGAGAGGCGGGTAAGAGACGTGGACGGTGCATTCACTGGCCCTCACCATGGGGACTAAGGGACAAATGGGTTAAGCGACTTGCCCAATTTAGCTAGGGAGTCAGTGGCAGAACTGGGAATAGAACCCAGGAGTCCCGACTCCCACTCCCCCCAGCCCTAACCGCTAACCCACACTGCTGCTATAGGTGTTTGGGCACCTCCCATCCCTACCATAGTTCTCCATCTGCTCCAAGACGTGGATCCCGCATTCCTGCTGCCTCGGGTAGTAGTTGAACATCCTCTGGATGAAGTTGCGGGGCACAAACACTTCCTTGGGGAAGACGTCCAGGATCTTGTTGTAGACGTCGAGCTCCCGCTCCACCCCAAACTCTGGCATCTTCCTGAGGGCCGCATTGATGAACTCGATGTGACCTCTCCGCCGGATGTCTCTCTGGCAGAAGAGCTCCACCGCTCGGCTGAAGCTGGCCTTGTTTCTGTCTTCCTTGCAGGCCCGCTCGAAGAGCTCATCAAAGGGTACCAGGGCCCCATCACGGGACCCTCTGTCTTTCTCCTTGTCCCCCCTTGCCGAGGGGACGAGATCGGAACGGCTCAGGGCAGCACCACTCCGGATGCTCCGCACAGGAACCGGCCAGAAGCCCTAGCAGAGAATCAGATACAAACTGGGCCTTTAGCAGCTGTCGTTTTCCCTGATTAGAGCCCTCTCAGTGGGGCAAGGCCCTAGATATCAGTACCACACTCTACAGCACCATTCCATTCCCCTGGCTCACGGGCACTGGATGCCAGGTTGCAGGCCAGCAGTGACTGGTATCATCTGACAGCAGCTTAGCAGCCTGTGTGCAATGAAACCGCTGGTCTCAGACTACTTCCGAGCAGCCTCTCCTGTGCATCATACCGATCCACTGTGATACCACTCGTAAGAACAGATACATGCTGCCCCTCTTTCTCCACCCCATTTCCACTCCCCTCAGATTACAACAAATGGGAGCAGTGGGGGGTCCTCAGGCCCTCTTGAAATCAGATCCCTCTGGGCAGCAAATTTTGGGCAACCAAATAAGAAGGGAGAGAGGTTTACAAGATGCACAATCCCATCCCTGATGCTTCACTCCACAGGGCTGCCCACCTGCCCTGGGCCGGTTTCCTTTGGACTGGGAGCTGCTCGGGGCAGGGCCCACGTGGAATTTGTCTCTCACGTGGTGCCCAGTGTGCTGCCCCGCTGAAGGACAGCTGGTACCTGGGCACAGCTGCTTTCCTGCAGCCACGGGAGATCCCTCCCCGGAGCGGCTTGCCGCAGGATGCCTCGGCCGGCAGAGAGCTCTCGGGCCAGGAGCAGCTTCCGCACACAGTTCATGGTGGGGAGTTTGTCCCTCCGACGCGGGGCAGAGGCTGGCGAGGAAGGAAGCTGGAGCTGGGAGATTCAGAATCACGGGGCAGGCTCAGCCATGCCTGACATCCAGGGTTTGCTTGAAACAGACCGAGACGGATTTTAGAGATTTACCGTAGCACACAGGGACAGGAAATCTAGGGTGGGGGGGGGGGAGAGCTCCCTATCACCCATTCAGGCTCCCCCCCTTCATGGTGCCCCATATGCAGCCACACACACAGCGCTTCTGTGTCCCCCCACACGTTCAACCTCCCCATGCCCTGCCCCCAAACTCCTGTATATCCCTCACGGGGAGGCCACCGGACCCCCAAAATCCCCAGCCCCTCACCTCACACATACACTTCCCAGACCCTCCCACCACACGGGCATGCCCCCCCAAATCCCATCTCCACCCCACATATCCAGCCTGCCCTCATTCCCTCCCCAGGGACATGCCCCCCATCCCCCCCGTCCACATGGGCACCCCCAGCTCCAGGTGTGCACGGCACCCCAAGCCTGCCACCCCCCATATCCGACCACAGGCCGGCCTCACCCCACCGGGCGCCGCCATTTTAGCACCGCCCCCTCTAATCCCTGCCGGGTCAGGGGGCGGAGCCAATCACGCACGCTGTTTCTAAACCCCGCCCACTCCCAGACCTCCTCCCCGCCCCCCCACCTCCCCAAAATTACCCCACCGGGGCGGGGAGCCGGACACGTGGGTCCTATTTGCCCCCCTTTCCCGGGCAGGGGGCCTCCGCCCTGTGTCCCCTCCCGCCCCCGGCAGAGGGCCCGGACTCCTGGGTTCCATTCGTCGTCCTCCCCCCCCACCCCGATTTTGGCCACGTCCCTTCCTTTGTCTGTGCCTCAGTTTCCCTGGCTGGGACTGGGGCGAGGATGAATCAGCCAGTGTCCGGGAGCTGCCAAGCCCTTCGCACCCAGCCTCAGACGGGCCCGGACCGGCGGGATGCCCTGGTTCACTGGCTGGTTACAAACCACGGGGCACCTTCTCCCAGGTAGGGGGCACATGGGGCAGGGCCAGGTACAAACCATCCTACCCCCTCGGGGCGGCTCTCACCCAGACTCCGGGTGGGAGGACTGGCCTGCAGGGAGGTTTGACAGACCCCACCGCCCAAGCATGAGGCTCTGCTATTATTTAATATTTCCTCCTCAAAACACCCCCCCACCACACACACACAGATCAGTCCCCCCACCCCCTTGTGTCAGGTGCTGCATAGACACAGTCCCTGCCCCACAGCAAAGGAAGGGTCAATAACCCCATTTTTCAGATGGGGAAACTGAGTCACAGGGCAGGGCAGTGACGCACCCAAGATCACTCAGGGATTCTGTGGCCGAGCCAGGAACTGAACCCAGATCTCCTGAGGCCTAGCGCAGGGACCTCCTCCTTCTCCATCTCCTCGCTGGCCCAGTGGGTGCCCTGGCTTTCCTTTCCCCAGCCCTGCTTTACCAGACCGCCACCAGGGGCCACCACCTGGGCATGACCCTGCCTTTGCCCCAGCCGGTCCCTGGATTCCCCACCCCCGCATGCTGCCTGCCCGAGGCCAGGGAGCTGAGTTTCGGGTGCTGTTGCTGAGCAGGCTCCAACTTCAGCTTTATTGACAGCACAGAGGGAACTTTACATTCCCGCTTGATTTCTCCTCCAGGCCTGTTCTCTCCCCCCAGGGTCACTTGGATCCTTCCTCACTCCTGCCCCAAGCTGTGACAGGGCATTGCTGTGCACTGTTAAACACCTGCCATGCCCCACCCCAGAGATGGCTGCATCTCAGCACCAGGTGCGAATCCTTGTATAAACAGCTTCTGTATTCCACCCCTGGGTGACTGAACCTCAGCACTGGAGGAGGGATCTCTGTCTAAACCACCCCTGGATCCCACCCCAGAAGTGGCTGAATTTCAGTCGTGGATTTCGTGATCCCTTTCGTGATTATTTTGCATGTCTCTTTGTAACAGGCTTCAGGCTGAAAGGTGCCTCTGTAAACGTGGGGCTGTAGGGACAACGTGGGGCTGTGGCAACAGAGGAAAGCAGCAACTTCCCTCTTTCAAGCATTGCATGTGCATTGCCCCAGGAAATGTGTGGATTGTCCCTGTTATTCAACAGGGGAAACTGAGGCACGGGGAGGGGAAGTGACTTGTTCATGGTCACACAAGGAGGCAGTATGAGAAGTGAAACTAGAAACCCAGGAGCCCTGGGCCTAACCACTAGACACCCCCCCCATCCCGCCCCGCCCAAGAATAGACCCAGGAGTTTGACTCACAGCTGCCTCCTGCTTTAACCACAGAGCAGCTGTAAGTTCAGGAGACCGAACCCAGGCGTCCTGACTCCCAGCCCCCCTCCCCTCCCGCCACGGGGCTAGAACCCAGGCGTCCTGGCTCCCAGCCCCCCCCTTCCCACAAATGCTAGATTCCCCCTCCCCTCCTGCCGCGGGGATAGAACCCAGGCGTCCTGGCTCCTAGCCCCTTCCCCCGCGACAGGGAGCGAACCCAGGCGTCCTGGCTTTCAGAGCCACCCCCATGGCGGACATGGCTCGTCCCTCACCTTGGAACCTGCCACCTGGCCGGTCCCCACGACGGGGTGGGGGCAAGGGGCAGGCGGCGGGGGCGTGGCTAGCCCCAGAAGGGGGCGTGTCCAGTGCCGGGATTGGCGGAGGCGGGGGCGCCGGCCAGCCCCTCTGTCAGAGCCAGGAGCGGGGCGTGGGGCGGCCCCGGGCTGGGATGTGGCACCGCCGCGGGACCGCCGCCTGGGAGCTGGGAGCGCGGCGGGAGCCCCTGGGCTCCGAGCAGCCGGCTCCCCACGCCCGGGGGCAGGAGCCTCCCAGGTGGGTGGATCGTGCGAGCCACGCGGGGCAGGGCGAGCCTGGGAGTGGGGGGAGCCGGATCCATGGCGGGGCTGTGTCCTGGAGGGGACGTGGGGGGAGCCGGATTCATGGGGGGGCTGTGTCCTGGGGGGGAAGTGAGGGGAGCCGGATTCATGGGGGGGCTGTGTCCTGGGGGGGGAAGTGGGGGGAGGCGGATCCAGGGGGGGCTGTGTCCTGGGGGGGTGAGTGGGGGGAGGCAGATCCATGGGGGCCTGTGTCCTGGGGGGGTGAGTGGGGGGAGCCGGATCCATGGGGGCCTGTGTCCTGGGGGTCGAAGGAGGGGAGCCGGATCCGTGTGGGAAGGAGCCAGATCCATGGGGGGTTGTGTCCTGGGGGGCAAGTGGGGGGAGCCGGATCCATGGTGGGGGGGTCTGTGTCCTGGGAGGGAGAATCGGGGGGCAGCTGTGGGTTCAGGGTATAGAACCCCAGGAGTCCTGACTCCCAGTCCCTGCTTCCCACCCCCCACCGCCCCCCCAACCACTAGATCCTGCTCCCTTCCAGGATCTCTGAGCTTGCCTGGAGCGGGGAAGCCAATGCTGTGGGAAGAGGGGAAGCCATGAGGGGCCGGGCTGCGGGCTCCCTCGTGGCACACTGAAATTGGCACAGTGCATTTGGGGAGACTGGGAGGAGCCCCCCATGAAATCAGGCCTCCTGTCACTCATCCCTGAGCTGGCCCACAGCCAGTGCCTCTAGCCTGGGCACGCAGAATGCACCGGGCCGACCCCACCGCTGAGGGGGGCGTTACGCCAGGCTGGCTTTTGGCCCCAGACAGGGTTAGTGGCAGGCGGGGGGGAGATTGGCTGCAAGTTTTGCCACTTCGTTACTTGCCCAATTTGCGTATTGACCGGCCAAAATGAATGATAATAATTAACCCCGTGGAGGGGGCTGGGCCCAGCACAGCGAGACGGAGGTGGCGGAAACTGGATTGTTTGGCTGCACGTTCCTGTTCCCTGGCGTTGGTGTTTTGCAACCTTTAATTATTGAATGTGAGCGTCTCACCCGCCCTGCGAGCCGGGCACCTCGGGTGTTTCCCTGGAGGTTGCCAATTTCCCCGAAATCCCTCCCATGCTCCCCGCCATGCTAACCTGTAACTCCCCTCCCAGAGCTGGGGAGAGAACCCAGGAGTCCTGACTCCCTGCTCCCCAACCACTAGCCCCCCCCTTCCCAGAACTGGGATAGAACCCAGGAGTCCTGACTCCCAGCCCCTGCCAGACTCTAACCACTTAGGTGGACCCTGGCATTTCCCTATTCCCCCCCCCATTCATTCCATGTGATCAGTCTGTGTGAACCCCCACCCCTTTTGCACGAGTGCAGCCCCGTGAACACAGGGAGCTGGCATGGCACTGAGGCCTGGCTCAATGTGGCCGCTCCGTCCCGCGGGGGCCTGGCTCCCAGCCGCAATCGGCTTTGTTCTCTGGCCCTGATCCCTTTGCCTTGGCAGCGAAAGCAGGAGGTGGCATCTCGATTGAACTTGAGACCCAGTTCCGGTTACCTCAGCCAGACACTCAGTACCCGCGCTCAGGCCTGTCGGTGGGGCAGGGACCTTGCGAGGGCGTCTGCCCCTGTCCCTCCGCACTGAAGTGGGACCCGGTAAACCCAGCCCGTCCCTGCCCGCTCTTCGTCCCGCCTGTTCTGAAAAGCCTCCAGCCACGGGGATCCCACGGGGATCCCTGCCACAGCCATCGGCTGCCAACATCACTGAGAGCTGCGAACGCAACTGTTCCTCCTGGACCAGGGCAAGGGCCATCAGGCCTAGGGGTTGGAACCGCAGGTCAGCGGCAGAGTCGGGGCTGGAGCCGGCGCAATCAGAGCTGCAGGGAGTGCTCCTGCTGAGCTTAGGAGCATGACCCAGGACCCCGTGGTGCCAGGCGCTGCACATTATTTATTAGGTGGATTACGGTAGCGCTGAGGCGCCCCAGCCATGGCCCAGGACCCCATGGTGCCAGGCGCTGCACATTATTTATTAGGTGTATTACGGTAGCGCTGAGGCGCCCCAGCCATGGCCCAGGACCCCATGGTGCCAGGCGCTGCACATTATTTATTAGGTGTAGAACAATGAGATGAGGCTAATGGGCATGGTGGGCAGCAGGCTCAGCTCTAAACCATTGTACCTATCTGGTGCCTGTCACCGTGGTATCTGGTCTGGAGGAGGAGGGCCGGCTCCAGCCCCTCTTAGAACCTCACCCACCCAGACCCCGTTTCTTCCCCACACAGAGGGAGCCAGCATTCAGTCCCTGGGCCCCATGGCACTGCCTGCCCTCCCCACACACATGCCCGCTGCCAGCCCCCCTCACTCCCGACCCCCAGCCCCACCCTGGGCTCCCCCTCAGCTCTGCCGGCCCCCCTCACTCCCAACCTGCAGCCCCCGCCAGTGCCCAGAAGTGGATTACGGTTTTGTGGGGCCCTGGGCCAGAGCAAGTGGGCCCCCCGCCTGCAGTCCATTCCTCTGCCCGCCTGCCGGGGCCGGGTAGCGGGGTTGGGGCATGGGGACTCATTTTTCTGGGGTCCCTGGGCACAGACCCCATTGGCTAATCTGCCACTGGCGGTGCCCCTCGGTCCCAATCTGCAAACCCTCCCCTCCTGCTCCTTCAGGCCGGGCCATGGTGTGGATCCGGGGTTAGATCCACCAGCGTCAGTTTGCAGCTTCACAGCCTGTTTGGTTTGAAACCCCCGGGGCTGGCTGGGAGAGGTCACCTGCCCCGAACCCCCCCACCCCACCAGGTCTCCTGCCCCGAACCCCACCCCCATCTCAGAACGGATTTCAGGGTTCCAGCAGGACACGTCTTGAGCAAATATTGAATGAAGTGCGGAGGTTAGTTTACAGTGCAGAGGTTAGTTTACAGGAGGCTCATTAAGCAAATCCTTAATTACAGGCAGCAGGGCTCCTCTGGGCAAGGATCTCTACCAGCGCCTGCCGGATCCAGGGGTTGGGTTAAAGCTCCAGCCTCTGGCGGCATGGGCTGGGCCTCTAGGAGAATCTCACCTTTTGCTCACAAACAGAAATGATCCTGCTCCCCTCCCCGAGGATAGAACCCAGGAGTCCTGGCTCCCAACCCCCCTGCTCTAACAACTAGATCCCGCTCACGTCCCAGGGCTGGGGATAGAGCCCAGGAGTCCTGGCTCTTGCCCCCTTATCATTCCATAATGCTCCCCCCTTTTGGCAGGCCCTCAGCATCAGGCCTCTCTCCCTGTGGGTTCGATCCCCAGCTCTGGGAGGGGAGTGGGGACTAGTGGTTAGAGCAGGGGGGCTAGGAGCCTGGACTCCTGGGTTCTATCCCCACTCTGGGGACAGGGGACCTTGATCTCTGCTTTGCAGTGGCACCCGTGGGGGTTGGTTCCGGCCAGTTCCTGGGGCCGGGCAGTCAGGGCTGCTTGTTGGGACGTGGATCCCTTTCCAAACAGCCCCTGCCCCCAGCTCAGCGATCACCGGGTGCCCAGCTGGCATGGCCCTGGAGGGCACGGCCACGTCCCCATCCCCCACCACGGGGCCAGATCCCCCTCTCAGCTCCAGAGAGTGGGGCACATCCTGGGGGGCTGCTGGTGCCCCCCCTCCCCGCTGGCCTTGGTCTGCTGTGCCGGGCACTGCCCATTCCTTGGCAGTAGGGCTGGGCAGCACCACACGGCACCAAGGGCCTGTGGTGGGAAAAGGGCACAGGGCGGGGCATCACTGTGGTGGGGGACCAGAGAGAATTAAACTCTTGAGTACTCTCCCCTCTGTGACGCAGGCTTATCACCGCTCCACGGAGATCCGGGGCTGCAGGTCAGGAGCGAGGGGCATCGGCAGGGTGTGTGTGTACCACTGCCCTTTGCTAGGTGGAACGAGAACAGCTCTGCTCTGTGTCATATGCCCTATAATGCTCTCAGCCAGTGGTGATTCTCCTCCCGCTCAGTTGTGGGGGCTGGTGCTTCCTGACCAGGAGGCTCCAGATCCCATCCCTGTGGGGCCCCACGCTCACACCCCACGCTCCCTTTACAGGTGCCATTGAGCGGCCATGGAGGAGTCCACACGGCTGGGTTACTGCATCGTGGCCGGCAGCTTCGTGACCTTCCAATTCTTCTTCTCGGCCGTCAGCCCCCAGCTCTCACTGGCACTCAGCCGCCGCTACTGCGGCCTGACCGCTGTCAAAAAGTGCGAGTGGAACTCCAGGTACCGCAGTCCTCGGGCCTGAGGGGAGCAGGACAGAACCCAGGAGTCCTGGCTCCCCGTGCTCTAACCACTAGACCCCACTCCCCTCGAAGAGCCAGGGATAGAACCCAGGCGTCCTGGCTCCCTGTGCTCCAAACACTAGACCCCACTCCCCTCCCAGAGCCAGGGTTAGAACCCAGGCGTCCTGGCTCCCAGCCCCGCAGCGTCTAACCACTAGGCCCAGCCCCCAGCGGGAGCCATCCGGACGTTCCTTGTGGGCTTAGCCTGAGAACATCCTGGCGCGTGAGGCGTCTGACGGGCTGAAAGGAGTCATTGTCCAAGCCCAGGGGCTGGGCGCTTGGAGCAACATGGGGGGGGCAGAGCCGTGTGTGATCCCTGGGGGGCCACTGGGGGGTTGAGCCGTGTGTGATCCTGCGGGGGCCATGAGGGGGGCAGAGCCGTGTGTGATTCCCGCGGTGGAGGTCTTGGGGGGGGGGGGCTGAGCCACGTGTGATCCTGGGGGCATTATGGGGGGGCTGAGCCATGTGTGATCCCTGGGGAGGCCAAGGGGGGGGACTGAGCCATGTGTGATCCCCCCCCAGGTGTGTCTCCACTCTGCACGCGCTCATCGTCGGCCTCTTCTGCGTCTACATCCTGCTCTTCGATGGAGCCATTAACGCCAACCCCATCTGGTGAGCTTCCCCGGTGCCCCTCACTCCCGACCCACAGCCCCCTGCTCCCCACCCCCAGCTCCCCCGTGCCCCTCACTCCCAACCCACAGCCCCCTGCTCCCTGCCCCACAGCTCCCCCTGGTGCCCCTCACTCCCAATCCACAGCCCCCTGCTCCCTACCCCCAGCTCCCCCGTGCCCCTCACTCCCAACCCACAGCCCCCTGCTCCCTGCCCCACAGCTCCCCCCAGTGCCCCTCACTCCTGACCTGCAGCCCCCTGCTCCCCACCCCCAGCTCCCCCAGTGCCCCTCACTCCCAACCCACAGCCCCCTGCTCCCCACCCCCAGCTCCCCCGGTGCCCCTCACTCCCAACCCACAGCCCCCTGATCTCTGCCCCACAGCTCCCCCGGTGCCCCTCACTCCCAACCCACAGCCCCCTGCTCCCTGCCCCACAGCTCCCCCGGTGCCCCTCACTCCTGACCCTCAGCCCCCTGCTCCCCACCCCCAGGTCCCCCGGTGCCCCTCACTCCCAACCCACAGCCCCCTGCTCCCTGCCCCACAGCTCCCCCCCGGTGCCCCTCACTCCCGACCCGCAGCCCCCTACTCTCCCAGCCCTGGCTTCCTCCCCCCCGACACACACAGTTCTGTAGCTGGCTGCAGCCCATGCTCGGAGTTGGGGGCAGATTTGCCCTGGTCCCTTTCCCAAGCCCTGTCTCTCACAGCTGGTTGGAAGGTGCCAGCCCTGGGCCGGGGGGGGGGGGTCCCGAGGTCACATGGTGGCAGAGGTGATAAAAGACTGTTTTGTGCCGGGGAAGAATGGCCTCCTTGTTCCCCGGCTGCCAGGAGCCAGAACCGCCCGTGCAGCTGGCATCGGCGGGGCAGAGGAGGCTGCGCGGTGCGGGTGGGCACAGCCTCTTGCATTGGGGACCGGAGCCCAGGGGCTGGCATGGTGCCCGGACATAGGGTTGCATGCAAGGGGGATCTGGGGCCCAGGCACTGTGGGGAGCGAGCGTCTGATGGGGGGGAGCTGGCCCTGTGATCACCCCCCTGCCTGTGTTCATGCTCCGCCTCTCCCCCCGATACTAACCCCCCCACCCCGTCCCATGCCAGCCCCTCATCCCCTGACTCCTTGTGCTTCCAGGGGGGACCCTTACCTGGTGAAACTCAACGTGGCCATCACCTGCGGCTACCTCCTCTACGGTAAACGCTGTGGGCACCGTGCTGCCCCTGCTGGCTGGCCTGGGGACTGCGACCCCCAGCTCTTTGGCCTCCCTGACCTGGGGGGACCCCAGAACTGGGATTTCAGGCACAAAATGATCTAAAACCCTAAAAAAAAACGGGGAAACTTCTTACAATTTTGGTGACTTTTTCCTTCTGGAGTGAAAGGAGCCACCAGGCATTGGGGCCATGGGCCTGGGGGGCTGCCCGGCAGGGCCAGGCTTTGGGGCTGAAGCAGGGAGCTGCAGTGGGGCAGCTGGGCAATCAGGGGGGCTGGACCCTGAAACCCCACCCAAGTGGGAGTTGTTTGTGCCTCCCACCCAAGCTGAGGACCCCAGGAATAGATGGAAACTCCAGGAGAAATCCAGGTGCCCAGCCCAGGGTGAGGGTCTCCCAGGCAGTGAATGGTTTGTGGGGCCCCCAAAGGGCTGACTTCCGACAGGGCCAGCGCTGAGCTCGCTCCAGGAATCGGGCCTCTTCCGGGGACACACACCGGCTACAGGCCCCGCTCTGAGAGGCTCGGGGCGGGAGGTGCCAGGCTTGCGAGAGGGGGTATGTGGGGAGAGTGTTTGGGGTGGGGGGGCGTCATGCTGCGCCTGGAGGGGCTGGTAGGGTTTGTTTGTGTGTGTTTGTGCATTTCCCCATTGCTGAGCCTGACACAGCGCCCTCCCATGGGGGCCCCAGCACACTGACCTGTCCCCCCCATTGTCCCCCCGGCCCCCCCAGCATTAAAACTCCTCCGTGTGTGTTTCAATTCCAGATTTGCTGCTGCTCCTGCGGTACTGGAAGATGCTGGGCGACTCCCTGTTCGTTTGCCACCACTTGGTGGCGCTGTACGCCTACGGATACGTGCTGGTCAGTGCCAGGTCCTGGCCGGCTGCTCTGGGGCAGGCTCCCTCCCCTGTCCCAGCCCCCCAGATCTCTGCTCTCTCTGTGCTTCCTCTGCACCCCCCGCCCCAGCTACTTCCTTTGCCCCCGCTCCGAGGGCAATGGCTGGGTCCATCCAGGCTCCAAATTCAGCTTCAACCCTCCCCTTTAATCCCAGCCAGAATCCACCCCCCCATTTCAAGTCAAAGCTCCGATTTCAGCCCCCATTCGCCAGCTGGCGTCCCCCCTCCCCAGGCCTGGAGGGGCGGGAACGCAGCCAGAACAGAGGAGCCCAAGGCACCTGCCTCTGGGAGCTGGGAGGCTGGGCTGGGCTTGGGGCTAAGGGACTGGGATTCATGAGAGCTGGGTTCGAAGGGGTCTGGCCGCTGCTGGAGACGGGATACCGGGGTAGATGGGCCCGTTCCCTGTTCTACAGCAGGGAGGGGATAATCTCAGAGGGTTTAACACCAGGAGGGACCCTTAGATCTAGTCTCACCTGCACATCACAAGCCGGAGAATTTCACCCACCTTCTGTATGAGACATTAGCTCAAGGCAGAGAGCGCGTCCCCTTCAGATGAGCCCTGCTGTGCCCTGGACTCCCCACTTTGCATGCGGCTCGGGGTGGGCACCCTGGGGCAGATGGCGAGGGCTGTACCAGGGAGGATGGCCCAGTGGTTAGGGTCTAGCCCAGGACTTGGGAGTCCTGGGTTCAATTCCCTGCTTTGCCACAGACTGCCTGTGTGACCCTGGGCCAGTTGTATAGCTGTTCAGTGCCTCAGTTTCCCTCTTTGTATAATAGCCCTGCCAGGGGCATTGTGAGGCTAAATACACCAACGATGGTGAGGTGCCCAGATGCCACGGTGATGGCAGCCGATGTGCACTCACACTGTGGCTGCAGGGCTGTGCTGGGAGACAACAATTGGGCCTCCCCCCCCACCCCACCCCCAGGCGGCTTCCCTTGGTGGCCTGCGACTCGCCAGGGGACGCAGGGGGCCGTTTGCCTGCGCAGCCCCAGGTGCTTGTTAGCACCAAAGCTCCCTGGGCCGGGAAGGAGGCGCCGGCATCCGAGATCCATGGAATGTCCTGGGCCGAGCAGCCAGCGCTGGCTGGAAACCCCCCTTCTGGCAGCTCAGGCTGGTCACCCAAAAACCAGGGGCTGCTTTTGAAAATTTCCATCCAAAAAGCTTTAGGCGGGTGTCAGTGACCAGATACTGTGTATTAGGTGTATTGCGGTAGCCCCTAGGCACCCTGGTCATGGCAGGGACCCTGGGCACAGCACAGAACAATAATTTCCAAGCTCCATCCAGCCCCTGCCTTGAGGCGCCCGAGTCCTGGGGAAGAAATCTGCCTCTTACCATAGGACTGCTCAGGCCCGAGGTCCTGACCTGCTGCCCCACCCAGGCTCTGACAGGGGCTGGCACCAGCTGCCCCCAGGGAAGGGGAAAGAACCCTGCAGTGGAGGGGGTGGGAGGATCCTCTCCCCCACTAAGGGCTCATGGGACGCCCCTGGTCTGCTTAGCACCCAGTGTGGCCGTCCCCAGCCGGTCCCAGATCACTGGGGAGGAGCCTCGTTGGCTTCAGAATCGGGACTTTCTACCGGTATTTGGGGTTCTTCTTATGAACCGGGGGGGTTGCAGCCGTAGCCGGGTTCCCCTGGCCCTGGCAGCTTTATCCGCCCCGCTGAGGGCCAGGAGCTCTTCTCGGCCCCACGCGGGTCAGGACGCTGCTTTGCCCCGGGACTCCAGGAGCTGGGGACTGAAACCGACTCTCACCCGACTCTGGCAGCTGGGGCGTCCGCTCAGAAACGTGGGGGGCTGGGGACCAAGCTGGGGCAGCATGTAGAATACAGGGGACTGTATTCCAGCCTGCAGCATCTTGGGTAGGGTCATAGGGACCTATGAAAAGTCAGGGGGGCAAACCAAAGTGTGGGGGGGCAATCACCCTCCCCCATAGCAAGTGAGGCCCCAGCTTGGCAGCCCTGTTAGAATCGGCCAGGCCTGTGAGCTGGGCTATTCACTTGCGCCGTGTTTTCACCCGGGTCAGTCTCCCCTGTTTGTGGGGCCATCGGCCCCCCCAGAACTTAGCCAGCAGGAAGAGTCAGGACCCAGCCCCAGCTGGCGTCTCTCTCCCCACTCTGCCCCCTGCACTGCGCCCAGGCCATGGGAACATCTAAACATCTCATTTGTGACGCCTTACCAAACAACCAGCCCTCCCTGGCGTGACCCCGGTACTGAACTCCCCAGGGGGTCAGCCCCCCCATAGCTGTCAGATACAGCCCCACTAGCACCTTTGGGGTCGTGGGGGGGACACGCAGAGGGAGCCTGGCCTAAATATTTGGGCAGCTCTTTGAACTGGGGTGGGGCAGGTTGAGATTGGGAGCCATACACAGAGCTGGGTAGGGGAGACCCAGGACTGGGGTAATGGGGCTGCGAGTCAGGACTGAGGGACACTAACAGAGCTGGGAGGGGCAGGGATCCTAGGGCTGGGCTAGCAGGGGGCTCTGGGTGGGGATTGGGGGCACTGGCAGATCTGGGTGTGGGGAGGCCCAGGGCTGGGCTAGCAGGGGGCTGCGGGTCGGGACTGAGGGGCTCTGGCAGGGCTGGTGCGGGGGGACGGGACTCTGCTCATCTCTCCCCTACAGAAGGTGCAAAGGAACCTGGTTGGGGTGGGCCCCTCTCATGGCTCCAGGTCTTCAGGGAAGTGACTCTGCCTTGGGGTCTGTGAGTCCAGCGACCCGCCCCTTACTTCATGCTGGGGCACAGCTCAGCGCCCCCCACCTCTGGGGTGGTTCCTGAGCAGGCCTGGGGTGGAGGATCTGTCCCCCCCGTGAGCCCCTTGGAGCAGGGGATTAACAGCCTCTCTCTCCCCTAGAGCCGAGGGGTGCTCCCCTATTTCGCCAACTTCCGCCTCCTTTCCGAGCTCTCCACCCCATTCGTCAACCTGCGGTGAGTCCGGGGGAGGGCTGGGCAGGGGCTGGTGCTGGGGGGCTCTAAGGTGCCTGAGTGTCCCAGTGGGACACGGATTCAAATTCTCCTGAGGCGCTGGGGGATGAGGATGGTGCCACTACCCCAGAGGATGCTGGGATGCAGACGGTGTGGGGAGGGGGGCTGAAGGGTAGGGCAGGCAACCCTAGATCAGTGGGGCTGGGAGTTAACACCCTTTTGACTTGCATCAGGGCAGCTTCCACACCCCTCCCTCCCCCGGGCTATGGGCTCAGGCTCTCTGCAGACTCAGGCAGAGTCTGGCTTAATGAGAGGGCTGATGTGATCATGTGACGCCAGGAGCTGGAGGGGGCAGGGCCTGAGGCTGTTTAAAGTGACCGCGCGCCTTTCTCGTGGCCCAGGTGGTTCTTTGACACCGTGGGGCAGCCCCGCTCCTCCTGGTTCGTCCTGGCCAACGGCCTGGCCATGACCGTGGTCTTCTTCCTGGTGCGCATCGCCGTCATCCCCAGCTACTACGCCCGTGTGCTGGCCTGGCACGGCACGCCCGAGTACGCCCGCCTGGGGCTGGCCGTGCAAGTGGCCTGGATCGTGCCCAGCCTGGCCCTGGAGGTCCTCAACCTGGTCTGGATGTACAAGATCATCCGGGGCTTCTACCGGGCCTTCTGCCGGTCCCAGGAGCGCAAGGCGGCCTGCAGCCATGGGGACTAAGCGGGAGCTGGACTTCCCCAGGGGGCGCAGCCAGGGGGCCCCCAAGCTCCTGGCACAGATGGAAGATCCACTCTAGTTCCCATCAGAGCCCACAGCAACAGAAATACCCTGGCCTGGCATGTGCCCCCAGGCACATGGACTGGCCCCCACTGAGCAACAGGGGCGTCTGGACTGGCACATGTCCTACAGGCAGCTAGGAAACTCATGGAGATCACAGACTGGCATATGCCCCAGGCACCCAGGAAATCCATGGGGCACCGGGACTGGCACTGAGCACTTGGGACATCTGGACCTGCGCATGCCTGTCTTTGTGGGGGCCTGCGTGTCCATGCACAAGGGGCACGGAGGCTCCAGCTGGGTGGGGGGCAGGGGGCAGAGCGGGGAGCCACAGTAGGGCCATGCTGCAGCCTAGTGAACAGCTTCCCCAGGCCTCCGCACCCCCTCCAACTCCTACAAAAAGGGGAAGGAGGCCCACACTACTGGGCTGGAGAGTTGGGGGGGTGGGGCCCACGTGTGCTGAACCCCCGGGGGCCAACGGTTATTTGTAGCTTTTGAGGACACACACACACACCCCAGGATCCTGCAGTCTGACCCAGGCTCCTCCCTGCCAGATGCCTCCTGGCCCATAGCACCCCCCCTTCCATAAGGCCCTGGCCCCCTACCCAAGGGGATGGGGCAGGGTCCTGGGGCTGAGCCTGCTCTGGCAGGGGGAGCGGGGTGCGGAGTTGGGAGCCACACGGGTCCCAGCAGGGGTGTCTCTGGCACAGGGCAGCCCCCAGCTAAACATGTTCAGAACCCTCCGGGCTGGGCCCCCCGAGAACCGGCTATAGTCCCTGCTCTGCTGCAGACTCCCAAGGCGAGTCGCGGTTCCTCTGTGCCTCAGTTTCCCTGTCTGTTAAAGGGGGACAACGCCCCTTCAGCTGTGCCTTCTCTCTTCAGACTGGGAGCTCTGTGGGGCAAGCCTGTCCTCCATTCTACCCGTGCAGCGCCCGGCACGGCCGGGGGACCCCCGATCTCGGCCAGGCCCAGACAGTGCCCCTTGATCTCGGCCTGGGCCTCTAGGCATTTCCACGCTCCCAGTGACACTCTGAAGTAGCCTCCCTCACCAGGTCTCGCTCCGGTCGGCTCCGAGATCGGGTTTTTTTGGACGGTTTCCAGTGAAGAATCTCAAATTCCTTCTCGATTCCTTGTTTCATACCTGACATTTCTGCCCTAATGAGGAATTAAGCCCCCCCCCATACTAATTTATTAACCCCAAACCCCCCCCCCTCCCGGGCCAGGGGACGAGCGTCCAGCTCACCCCCGAACCTGGCTGGGCTCCGACCTCTCCGGCCACGTTTGCCTCCAGTGTCTGTCTGTCAGGGGAGGGGTGGGACCCTCAGTGTGGGTGTCAGGGGACAGGCCACTGGGCTGGGACTCAGGACACCTGCAGTCCGTCCCCAGCTTTGCCACTGGCCAGCTGGGTGACTCTGCACAAGTCACTGCCCATTCTGTGCCTCAGTTTCCCCTCTCGCCCTTTGTTTAGATTGTGAGCTTGTTGGGGCAGGGACTTTACTTCGTTCTGGGTCTGGGCAGCCCCCAGCTCAACAGGAGCACCCCCACATCTCAGCTGGGGTCTGGGCAGCCCCTGGCACAATGGGAGCACCCCAATATCTCAGCTGGAGTCTGGGCAGCCTCTGGCACAAGAGGGGCCCCCCACATCTCAGCTGGGGTCTGGGTAGCCCCTGGCACAATGGGGGCCCCAATCCTGGTTATGGGCTCTAAGGACAGTAGGACCAGTCAGTAATACACCAATTTGCACCAGCTGAAGACCTCGCCCTCCGACCCCTCCATGCCTGGCTGTCAATTGCCCCTTAGTAACAGCGGGCGCCCTCGGCTGCCGGGTTCAGGGCTGGCCTGGAGCATTTACCCTGTCACCCGTTTCCTCGGTATGGTCCCCACCCTCACTCTCTGCCCTAAAGCCCATCAGGCCGGAGCCCAGCCCTGAACTCAAACCCGCCAGCCCGGGCCCGATGCCGGGGGATTCTCCGGCCTGTTCTCTGGGGGGCGATCGGAATCCACTGCCCACCGCACTGCCCGGTGCCAGCTCAAACCTGGCATTTCGTACCCTCCGCCCCAAACACCTGCATCCCCGTTGGCCCGCGCCCCCCCAGAGCAGCACACAGGCTCCCACTGCCACCCCCTGGGGGTGCCGCCGGCAGGAGAATGGGGGAGGGGACAGACAGAGGGACGTGACACGAATTGCGGGGACTCAGGTTTGCGGGGACTCAGGTTTGATCTTGTGGCAAGATCGTTCTCACGCCTCGCAGCACCGTTCTCACGGGGGGCGGATCCCCCCATCTGAGGCCCGTCTCTCATCCTGCCCCCTGGACTGTGATCGCCAAGCGGTGCGGGGGCCTTGGCGGCTGGTGTATGAAAATAACAATAAACAGGATTTAGTTTATTACGCTGGGCCGTCCTGCAGCCCTTTCTCACGGGCTCCCTGCAGGGAGAGGTGGCCGTGTGATTTCGGGGGTGCCCTGTGCGGGGGAGCGGGTTGTCACGGAGTCCCTGGGCGATGCTCTGGAACTGCTCCCCATGAAGCCAGTCAGGACTCTGGGGCAGTCGCCTTTCTGTGAGCAGCCTGTCTTCAGGACACGCAGCTCACCCGGCTTCCACCTTCCTGGGTCTGACCTCGGAGCATTCAGCATCCTCTGCCCCTCCGTGCGCTTCCCACAGCGAGTCCGCTCAGGCGGGGCTCCTGGGGAAGCCAGAGGGTCCTGCCCCCCAACTCCGCAGTCAGACGGGACTCTCAGCCAGCCAGTAAAACAGAAGGTTTATTAGATGACAGGAACATGGTCTAACACAGAGCTTGCAGGTGCAGAGAACGGGACCCCTCAGCTGGGTCCATTTTGGGGGGCAGTGAGCCAGACAACCACGTCTGCACTTCACTCCATGTCCCAGCCAGCCCCAAACTGAAACCCCCTCCAGCCCCTCCTCCTCTGGGCTTTGTTCCTTTCCCGGGCCAGGAGGTCACCTGATTCCTTTGTTCTCCAACCCTTCAGCTCTCACCTTGCAGGGGGGGAAGGGCCCAGGCCATCAGTTGCCAGGAAACAGGGTGTCGGCCATTCTCTGTGTCCAGATTCCTGCACACACCTGCCCTCTAGGGCTCTGCAATGATCATACACCCTTACTCCACCCCCTAGATACTTAAGAACTGCATAGGGGAAACTGAGGCACCCCCACACTATTCAGAGGAAACATTAAGAACAGTCCCACTTCGTCACATCTCTCCCCCCTTCGAGATCGAACTGAGCGGGGTCACTTTAGCCGGTGACCTGGGGAAGTTCGAAGCCACCAACATTCCCATGGATGCCCCAGCATCTCTCCCATTCCTTGGTAGGAGTTACACCAGGCCCTTCCAGTTTCACGCCCTCCCTTAGGTCAGGGGTGGTCGATAGCACTCGCAGGCCGCATGTGGGAAGGTTTATGCAGCCCATGCCCTTTGGCCACCCCAAGAATGTCTCCCCATTGACCATCACCTTCTGCTCCCACTGGAGGTCCGGGGGGCCTGGCCCCAGGAAACTCCACACAGACATATAGGTTGGGGTCAGGAGTGGGAGCCTGTCCACATCCCCAACTATCTGGCCGACGGAGTCTATGGCGTTGGGACCCAGCAAGGGAGGTAGACACCGGGGCTTTTCCGCAGGGTCCCCTTGGTTCAAATCGCCAGCCTGCTCAAAGGCAGTGAGGTGGGCATCCACACACCCCCCCCCTTAACCAGGGGCAGCAATTTAGTCTCGAGGTTCCCTGCGGAACTGGCCCCCCGGGATCTATCCCCACTCACCCCGGGGAGGTCCCCTAGGCCTCTCCGCTCCCCCACCGCCAGTTCATCCTGCTGCTGCTTCTGCAGCTCTTTCTCGGGCTCTCGCTGTCTCCCACGGTCCTCTTGCTCTCTCAGACTCAGCTCCAGTCCCGTCCGTCTCGATCCCCCGATGGGGAACCCGATCGTGAAGACCCTCATCTGGTCGGGGTCAGGAACCTTGGGAATGCCTGGCTCCCACTCCAGCTGCTCCCAGATCCTGCTATAGCCCCAGTTGGGGTCAGGAATCTGTTCCTTAGAGCGGTCATCCTCCTCCAGCTGCACGATTAACTCTGCTTTGGTGAACTTTCCAAAGCTCAACCCTCTCTTTTTGCACAGGGTTACAATGTCCTTCTTAAGGAGACGGTGACAGGCCATCACTCCGCTCCTCCCAAGCTGTTGTGGACTCACAGGTCCGTGTGTTCTCAGCTCCCCACGGTTTCCAGGGAGAACCCCTAGTGTGCCAGCCCTTCTCCAGGTCACCACCTCTTTGCCAGGGTCGAGCGGCAGACTCCTCCGCCCCTGAGACTGCTCACTGCAGTCCCCAGGGGGACCCCATTACTGCACAGTCCCTCTCGCTGGTCACACACTCCCAGGGGTTAACCGCCCCCGAAACCGCTCCTTTCTGAGCCTTCAGCAGGCCTGGTCCTCGGCAATCCCCCTTCGTGTTACTGCTCCCGAGTCACTTACTGCAGGAAGCGCCATCCACGGGGTGCAGTACATCCCACCGCTGCCACCAGTTGTCACGGAGTCCCTGGGCGATGCTCTGGAACTGCTCCCCATGAAGCCAGTCAGGACTCTGGGGCAGTCGCCTTTCTGTGAGCAGCCTGTCTTCAGGACACGCAGCTCACTCAGCTTCCACCTTCCTGGGTCTGACCTCGGAGCATTCAGCATCCTCTGCCCCTCCGTGCGCTTCCCACAGCGAGTCCGCTCAGGCGGGGCTCCTGGGGAAGCCAGAGGGTCCTGCACCCCAACTTCGCAGTCAGACGTGACTCTCAGCCAGCCAGTAAAACAGAAGGTTTATTAGATGACAGGAACATGGTCTAAAACAGAGCTTGCAGGTGCAGAGAACAGGACCCCTCAGCTGGGTCCATTTTGGGGGGCAGTGAGCCAGACAACCACGTCTGCACTTCACTCCATGTCCCAGCCAGCCCCAAACTGAAACCCCCTCCAGCCCCTCCTCCTCTGGGCTTTGTTCCTTTCCCGGGCCAGGAGGTCACCTGATTCCTTTGTTCTCCAACCCTTCAGCTCTCACCTTGCAGGGGGGAAGGGCCCAGGCCATCAGTTGCCAGGAAACAGGGTGTCGGCCATTCTCTGTGTCCAGACTCCTGCACACACCTGCCCTCTAGGGCTCTGCAATGATCAGACACCCTTACTCCACCCCCTAGATACTTAAGAACTGCATAGGGGAAACTGAGGCACCCCCACACTATTCAGAGGAAACATTAAGAACAGTCCCACTTCGTCACAGGGCCGTCCTGCAGCCCTTTCTCACGGGCTCCCTGCAGGGAGAGGTGGCCGTGTGATTTCGGGGGTGCCCTGTGCGGGGGAGCGTTGTGCATTGGGTGGGTGCAGTGGGGGCAGGCAGCCCCTTGCTGAAAGGGTATTTCAATATGGCAGGTGGAGCCCACCTTGGTGTGTGGGGGGGGTGGAGGCATGTTTGGGGAGGGGTGAAGCTGTATGGACTGCACGGGGGGCACATTGTTGGGCAACGTGTGTGTTGGGGGCCAAGGGTGGGGGGGGTGCATCAGACTGTGTACATGTTGGGTTGGTGGGTGGATGTGTTGCGGCTGGGAAAATAACCCAGGAATCCTGATTGCCGGCACCCCCACTTCTCTAACTACTAGACCCCACTCCCCTCCCAGAGCTGGGGACGGAACCCAGGAGTCCTGCCTCCCAGCCCCTCCCCCCTTGTAACCACCAGACCCCACTGCCCTCCCAGAGCTGGGGATAGAACCCAGGAGTCCTGTCTCTGCGTCCCTCCCCCCCGTAACCACTAGACCCCACTCATTGTCCAGAGCTGGGGACAGAACCCAGGAGTCCTGCCTCCCAGCCTCCTGCTCTAACCCCCCTTTTGCTGCCCTGAGAGCTGTAGTCGGACGAACGGGGTGGGGGAGGCAGCTCCCCAGACAGGAGCCGGGGAGGGTGTTGCTAACACTGGCAGGTGATGGAGGCCGATGAACTAAGTGTTAGGTCTGGCCGTGCTGGGCAGCGCTGCGGAGCGGGCCGGGGCGGGGGGCCGGGGGCCGGGGGCATGGTGCGTGTGGTGGGAGCTACGCGGGCCAAGGAGCTGTCAGGGCCTCGAGAACGAACCCCGGGCAGCGGCCAGTGGGACTCCCTGCCACGTGATCCGTGAGGCCAGGAGTCTAGGCCGGCGCCCAGTGAGAGCCCCCGGGGCTGGGGGAGGGCAAACACGAGCAAACCCAGAATAGGGGGCTGGGGGGGAGTTCTTCCCTTGGGGGCTGGTTAGTCCATCCCTGCAGGGAGTCTCACGCCTGCCTCTGACATAGCTCATGCCAGCCCTGCTCTCCGCCAGTGATCCTACCCAGATGTCCTAGCACATGAGGCCCTGCAGCCGGCGGCGGCCCCTCCCTGGGGCCCCCCAGCACCCCCTCCCTGGGGCCCCCAGGTGCCCTCTCCCCAGGGACCCCCAGTGCCCTCTGGCACCCTCCACCCCTGCTGCCAATGGGAGATTGTTGAGCAGTGGGTGCCCAAAGGAGCCCACAGAGCCCCTTGGGTGCCCAGACCCCCCTGCCCCCAGGGCCTGGGCCAGCCCCAAAGGTTCCCCACTTGTCCCCTGCTCCCCTGCTCCCGGTACAGCTGCCCGGCCCCCTGGCAGGACCCCCCGTTCCGGGGGGCACCCTCTTGGCTGAGCCGTGGGCGCGGTGACGTGGGGCCAGGCTGCCAGGCAGCTATAAATGGCAATGCTCATTCTGAGCTGGGGAGCGAGAGGGGTGGGTGAGAGGGGCCCGAGGGGCGGGGAGGGGGGCGTTGGCACCCGGCCTGATTCAGCTACCGTACGGCTCAGCCTCACGTCATCAGTAAAATTTAGCCGCCCGCCAGGTCCCTCCGGCTTCGGAGCCTCCTGGGCCATGAGCTCAGGGCTGAGTCAGCCTGCGCCAGCCTGGGCCCTTAACCCCCTGGCTGCTGTGGCCTGGACACACGTGTGCACACCTGTGGCCCGGCAGCGCTGGGTTGGCAGGAGCCAGCCTGCTGGGGGGGGCACAGGATCGGCCCCCTTGGGTGTCCCCTCTCCCCACACCTCTAGCCGGCCTGCCCCATCTCACAGCACACCAGCAGGGGGCTGAGCAGAAGCATACCCAGCCCCCGGGAGCTGGGACCCCCAAACGGTCAGCGATCCCCGAACCAGGGGGTTACTCCTGACCTGACTGGGTGAGCTCCCACGGGCACGGTGCCAGGGCTGCCGCTTCGCACCTTCTCCTGGAGCAGCTGGTGCCCGGCCCATGTGTCACGGTACTTCCCAAGCTCCTACCAGGCACCCCGGCTGGGGCTCCTAGCCAGGTGGCCCTGGCAGCGTGGCGGCATCTCCCCCACGCCAGTGCCTTCCTACCCCCCCTTCAGTCTCCCTCAGGGCCTGGCGCTGC